TATGCGCGATTTATTTTAGCTAGAATGGTAGGCCTAGATCTAATGCCAGTGGGGCTCACTTAGACTTGAAATAACTTTAAGTTCAGATATGGACGTCACGCAGGGTTGGGTGTTAAGACCAGCACTATTCATTGTTTGTGTGTTGGATCTAGGCTACAATTTTAAAGTCGTGTTTACTTTTGGCACTTTTCTTTTGATAAATCTAACACCAGTCAGCTGGAGTTGTATTGTTTTTATTATTTATTTCCAGCTTAAAGCCTGCATCACAAAGGAAACTAGTGCTACATGTATGTAGGCCTATCCATGAATCCAATCACTTGACAAGCAATCAGGTAGGCTTTGATCGTTCGTTTTAGCCTAATTCCTTTTAGGCTATACGATAGGCCTTCTGTAACAGAGTTGGATCAGCTGATATTCTAAATCTATTGTTTTTATTTTCAAAGACATTACAAATTATCAAATAAGACTATAATGCACTTGGGTACATTGAACCAGGGGTTAACCGTACCCCAATGACAGTGGTTCAATTCAATCTGCTACATCACAGTTTTATGATCAAAATTTTTAAAAAATTCAAAATGGATCAAGCTCTTGTTTATCTGGATTGAAGATTAGACATATGAATTGGTTGCAAGTACAAGAATTTTCTAGGCTAAGCAGTTAACATGTATTTATGGAAAATGATAAGTGAAAGTAGTGAATTTTCACTTTTAAGCACTCTTTTGAAAAAATTATTGCCTAAAAAATAATTGACAGCATGTTGCAACTGGACCTTTAAATAAATCAAAATTATTTCTTTCTTTCAGGCAAGAAGGAAATAATCAAGTTTATAAAAGAAAACAAACAACTTTCCGGTGCGTTGAAGTGCCTTTCAGAAACACACGTGAAATTATTTGATGAAAGAAAGACATACAGACTGAAAGCGTCAAAAGCTCTTAAAAACTAGGTAGATAAAGAGCTGACAGTCCTCGCTATAATAGTTAAAAAAAACCCCTAGATAATGAAAAGTGAATGTCTTGAAAATTCACAATCAACTTAGCGCCGTTAGGGCTTTTTGGAGAAGAGCGGAGTCTCGATTATCATTTTTTTAAAACCAAATCACTACCTGCCAATTGTTATTAAATCCATTGAGAATCTCGAGCATCCGATAACATCGAGAGTTAATAACGGTCTTGGGACGTTAATAAATGTCTAATTAATGATTTATATAACATTTAATGCCCATAGAAATATCTAGAATAGGCAGATTTAGCTATTACATAATGCATCTTTAATATACATGTATGTGCTTTTATGGACACAATGTTTTAAATTGGACTATAATGTTAGGTGTTTAGCAGTCGAATAGCTTGATGCTTAGGCTAAGCATAGATAATCAATTTTATTGAGTCGATGATTTGGTACATAATAAAATCAATTTTAATTGAGCCAGATTGGTGAAACTTGTGTGTATAGTTTCACTTCACCAAAACCTTGATTAACTTAATTAATATGTGTCGGTTGAGCACCAAAACCTTGATTAACTTAATATGTGTGGGTTGAACACCAAGCTCACTCTTGGCTTGTTTCTTCCACCTCTACCAACTTGAAAATGATATTAGATTTAAGGGCATATAGCTCTATTCTTGGGAACTTTAGCATAGACGAAGGTGGTGGGTCTAAAAGCACATTTTACTGTATATTAAGTGATTTCTATTCAATGTTTGAAATTTTATTATAATTTTTTAATCAGTTATGTTTGGTAAATATGTGAACAGTTCAAACGTTGTTCCTTGTTAATCCATTCCACACGATTTTATTATAGTTAGTTTGCAATTTGTGAATCAGGCCTTTTTAAATACTTATTGGATATTAGGCATCCAGTTTTTCAAAGTAAGCTATTGACTGAAATGGAACAGTATTAAATTTTAATTCGTGTTTGTAATTTTGAATAAGGGATGTTTCTGAGTTTGAGGTTTAGCTATTTTAATATGAAACTTTTGTCAGAATTAAAACAGCTGTGTTTTTTTCACTTTACTCTAAATTACTCAAACATATATTAAGACTAAATGATTGATTTATAAGAACGTTTATTTTTGTTGTACATGTGTCATAGGTCATGTATTTGGATAGTTGGCATTAGTTTCAAATTCTTGAATAAATTTTATGTTTTAAAGTATAATGTTTGCAAAGATTATTGTTGCTGCAAACAAGATTCAGTTTACATCTAACAACTCTTGACAGTGCCACCGATTAGCGTAGACCTAACCAAACGCTCCTTCGAGTACCCCTTGATATAACTAATAAAGTAATCAACGTATATATTGTGTTTGACCCTACATCCTTCACTGTCCTTGTACCACGCCTTTCATTCCCCATATATGTGCCTCGCTTGACCCAGTAGTGCTCCCAACAATTAGACCCTTCGAGAATGCACATACCCCCCCCCCCTGCACACCATAAGTCTAGCCTAGCAATGTTTCCTTACCAACATAAGTGTTCCCTAATATACAAATTGTCCTACCTAATGATAATGTCATAGACACCGGTATAAATAATGGCTTTTTATATTACTCAATGTTTAAGCCCGAGACGATTAAACAATTTAAAGGGCAATATTGGTGCCAGTCATTATCACATATGTGATAGAACTGGTTAAACACGTTCCAAATATTATTTTATCACATCGATCATTGCTACAATAGAGACGTAATCAATGCTTGAACAATCGGAAGTGACGAACGCAAAAGGAAAACACTAGTTATCTCTCTATATAACTGACTGAAGTGACGATTGATAACAGATACATGGGCGAATTTCTGCTCACTAATAATTCCTTCGAAGACCAAAAGTTGTCATATGAGACTGTAACAGCATATCTGACAATTCAAAAAAGTAATTGAATGTCATTAGATAAGAGAACACCAGCGGCTGCCAGGCAGGTTACACCCACATTTTCGAGAGATGGATAGAGAACAAGCTAAAAAGAAAGTGATTTTTCCTACAATCAAGGGCCATAATTCAGAAAATTACAATTCGATATGCGCAAATATCGAAAAGAACCGAGATCTTTGGGTTATAAACTTACATTTCAAGTTTCAACAAAATCGGATAAAAATTGTGACCTCTATAGGGTCCACAACCTTGATATACCATATTTTTTTTACGCTATTTGAGAACGAGGTGCGGCCATTTTGTCTGTCAGTTTTGGGCTTATTCTCACGAAATTCGAACTCAGCCGTCCTTATGGTGTAACGTGTTGTATACTACTACGTTTTTTTTAAATCGGATAAAAATTATGACCTCTATAGGCTTCACAAGCTAAAAATGCGATTTTTCGTACAATCAGGGGCCATAATTCAGGAAGTTACGGTCCGATATGCGCGAATATCGACAGGAACCAAGATCTTTGGGTTATAAACTTACATGTCAAGTTTTAAACAAAACTGGATAAAAATTGTGACCTCTATAGGGTCAACAACCTTGATATACCATATTTTTACGCTACTTGAGAACGAAGTGCGGCCATTTTGTCTGTCAGTTTTGAGCTGATTTTGACGAAATTCGAACTCAGCCGTCCTTAGGGTGTAACGGTGATATAATAATACGTTTTTTTAAATCGGATAAAAATTATGACCTCTATAGGGTCCACAAGCTAAAAACGCGATTTTTCGGACAATCAGGGGCCATAATTCAGGAAGTGACGGTCCGATATGCGCGAATATCGAAAGGAACCAAGATCTTTGGGTTATAAACTTACATTTCAAGTTTCAACAAAATCGGATAAAAATTGTGACCTCTATAGGGTCCACAACCATGATATACCAATTTTTTACGCTATTTGGGAACGAAGGGCGGCCATTTCGTCTGTCAGTTTTGGACTGATTTTCACGAAATTCGAACTCAGCCGTCCTTAGGGTGTAACGGTGATATAAAAATACGGTTTTTTAAATCGGATAAAAATTATGACCTTTATAGGATCCACAAGCTAAAAACGCGATTTTTCGTTCAATCAGGGGCCATAATTCAGGAAGTTACGTTCCGATATGCGCGAATATCGAAAGGAACCGAGATCTTTTGGTTATAAGCATACATTTCAAGTTTAAACCAAATCTGATAAAAATTGTGACCTCTACAGTGTTCACAAGCTAGAAACGTGATTTTTCGTACAATCAGGGGCCATAATCCATGAAGTTACAGTCCGATACATACCAATATCGAAAGGAACCGAGATCTTAGGGTGATAAACCTATATTTCAAGTTTCATTGAAATCGGATAAAAATAAACTGTTCACAAACAATTGTGGACGGACGGACGTTCGGGCGGAAGGATGGACGGACAGGGTCGACGACAAAATACGCCCACATGAAAATGTGGGCGTATAACGAGAAATAGAAACAGTCCGTAAATTCACGTGTGTTTATTAATTTTATACTTATATAAACATGGTATTGCACGGACTTTTTCTATTTTTCTTTCATGTTCTCTTATCTAGTGACAGTCAATTCTTTTTATGAATTGTCAGATATCCTTTCACAGTCTCACACAACAACTTTTGATCTTCGAAGGAATTATTAGTGAGCAAAAATTCGCCGTAATGCGTCCCCATAAATAACTGCATTAACACTCGGCTTTCCTGTATAGAAAACTTATAGCAACATAGCAAAAAACCAAGGTATATTAAATTAAGAACGGGGCGTCTTCATATCTATTGTATTCAGTTTGTCGCGGATTAGCTACCAGTGTTGACCGTGAAAATTCTTCGGATTTTCCGACATGATTTCTCCTTGCCAATGGTGTAGGATAGAGGGTTATGACAAGGAGCAGTTGGCTGGATCAGGGTATAGATTGGCACACACACAAAAGAACCCTTCAGAGTTGGGGTTGGGATTCCAAATATGTGTAGTCCATACCACACTGTATGGTGTTAAACCCCATTTCATTTCATCCCGTTTGTGGCTGAACATTTATCTATTTTTCAAATATATTTTTCGATGTCATAAAGATAAATATACACCTGTTGTTTTAAATATAATCTTTTAATCATAAAACGTAACATTGTATAAATATAAGAACATCACTTTGACTTTCAAATGGATATACATGAAACAAATTATTGCGATAAATGAACGAAACCAAGATTAGTTTTGACCATAAACAAGGGACATAAATGAAACAAATTATTGCTATAAATGGACGAAATTTTGACCATAAACAACGGACGATATCTACAATGTGTTTTTAACCTTGACATGGACATAGACACATATTTCCACAATCATACACCTGATGTCCGACTCCCTTATTACATACACTAGCTGTATAGGAGGCTCGAACCTTTCTTCCTTTTAAATTAGTTGGACAGTGATCCTTGGTCCATTCTTTCACTCTACGTTCACATTCTGTTCCACAAGTTATCATTTCTGTTCGACGACAACCACATCCGGCCCAGCCTTTACATCCCTGGATCTTACCAAAATCATGAAGAACTGTGGCATAGTTGTCATTATCAACAGCCTTACAGAAACAACTGAAACGTAAACGTATAAAAAATATTTTCTTGTCAACAAATATACTTGTACGACAACAAGGATTGGTTATCAACCAAGGAAACATTAACCCAATAGTAGACCTATCGACAATGGCTGTGGTTATCCGACATGTTAAATTGCAATTAGCTTTGGTACTATAAGCCTCCCGCGTTTCTCCATCTATTCAGAAACATCCGGAATAACAGATATGAGTCGCTTGTAAACTATAATTAATTAAAGATTCTTGTCGACATTTATGGGGGGGGGGGGGGGGTATAAATGGTCAAAACAAGTCAATATACGCTAAAATGTTTTTATTGGAATCTTTTTAATCTTTTTAACCATATTGATTAAAAGTCAGGAGATTATTTACCGTTGGTATGATTTTGTGTTATTAATTAAATGTTATATATTCAATTTGATGATATTTTTGAATGGAGGGAATTACAAATAACGATCACTAGTTATATTATTAGAAATTAAAAATTTAAAACAGGATGTTAGACTTACTTTTTTTCATTCCAACCTTTCTTTAGAAGCCAAGCATCAACATTATATACCACAGCTATCAAAACAATAAGGGAGACAACACCAATTTTAGCCATTTTTGGATTGGACTGTTGAAGCTGTAACAAAAATGGTTTATATACAAACTAATTTCAAAGAGAGATCTTTTCCTACTAACAAAAATTAATGGCAATTTTAATAATTTTATGTAACTGGTTCACGACATTAAATAAATACATTGTATATACCGAGAAAACGCACGTGTTCGATGCCTGCGTTGGACGAGAAAGTTAATCGGAATTTTTCGGCATGGTCCAATCTTGACAGTAATGCAGGACATACGGCCTGGCAAGAAACAACGTATAGTCATTCGAATGGGACGAAACCCTGAAGTCATGTGTACATATTGGCGTGCACGTAAAATATCCCTTGGCAGTTGGCATTCGATAGCAGCGCTGCCCGGGTCAAATGTCCCTCATAACACACTGTATGGTGTATCCCCGTTTTCATTAGCCCAGAACAGTCGGACGTTAAACCGCATTTGACTGCAAGGACTGGTGAAACATAATGCTACTGCGACTAATCCAGTTTTCATTTCATTGAATAGAATTACTGAACGACAATATTATTCTCTATCAAGTTAATGATTAGAGGTGTAATCCAATTTGATAAAGTGTACGCATGTCCTGTATAGTACACGATAGCTGTCAATTATAGCTAAGAACACGAATACGTAACATTCTGGTGTTAAAATGTTCACCGCTCTATTGAAATCTATTAGTATTAAATTGGATAAATTGTTACATACCTCGACGCTCTAATTAAATCTATTACAGTATTAAATTGGACAAATTCTTACTTACCTCAGCGTATTTATCGAGATGAAAAGAGAAAAGAATAAAACTGTTAAGATTGTCCTCATATTTATACTATGGTTGATTAGAGAGACACGCCCAATCCGGGATGTTTTTCCTATACCAGGAAAATCCGGGATTGTTTGTGGGAACCAATAAAATTGCTACAGTCAAAGATCCATTGAAGCAGGATGATATCACAGTTATTAGCGTCACTCAATAGAGACCTAAGGCCACAACCAATACCCGTGGTTAGAGCTACCCGGTTCATTTTCCTGGTTCATGAAGACTTGAGATGAGACGAAGATCTATTCAAGCATGACGATACTAACGTCATAAAATTGTTACACTACATACATACAGTATATAAGCAGCTCCCATCTGACCCAAAAAAAAAACTTGTTTACAATTCGACAGCTATTGCTATACAGGGTTGGTCCTGTCTTAAATTTAGTAGGCATACCAAAACTTGTATTTACCTTCTCTTAGTAATTATTTTATGTGTTCATAAACCTATAGTTGGGCCGTGAAATGGATACGACTCACTTATGAACCGAGGCCTTAAACTACAAATGAACATTTTGTCATTAAATCTAGTCATCATGATCATTATTCTAAAAGGGCACATACACGTTCAATAATTCCGTCAATATTATTGACCCAAGATATTGAATCAATATATTGAATCAATAATATTGACAGGAATTGCCCACACACGATTCAATATTTCCATCAATAATTTCATCATTTTTTGGTCATTTTTCAAAATGGATGCTATGTTTACTCTTCCAAGGTTGACGATGGAATGAAAATATTGACGCAATTATTCACAGATTCTCCACACACGATCAATATTGTCATTCAATAAATTGACCGTTCGTCAATATATTGATGAACCATCAATAAAAATCAAAATGGTTTTGATCCGTCAATATATTGACGCAATGATGGTTATTGACAATATTTTACATCAATATAGCCCACACACGTCCAATAGTCAATAATATTGACGGAATTATTGAACATGTATGGGCCCCTTAAGTTAAGTAAACTGATACTCATCTAAATTATTGATCAGCATGTATATAGAAAGTGGTTGGATATTATACAGTTGTCATTAACAGGTGTATAACCAGGTGTAACAGATTCCACTATTAGTGTAAAAACAAGAACACAGATTCCACCTTGGGGACAATACGCATATAAAATGGCATATAAAGCTACGTTCACACTAGAGGTTTAATCTGAATTGAATTGAATTCAGAATAAAGCCTTATTCCGGACTTTAGCGTCACACTCAATTCGACAAAAACTGAATCTGAATAAACGAATCCGTATATTTTTCCGAATTTAACCCGGAACAATTATTCCGAATCGGGTTATTCGCAGTCAAGATTTGAGTGTGGCACGCTTGATTCAGATCTACAGTCTTACCGGAAACGATAACTTTCAGGGCATGCTGGGGTGTAGTCTACATAGCCGCAACCCTTCGTCACTGAAACAAATGCTGCGGTAACATAACTAGCTAACAATAGATTGTTAGGCAACGAAGCATACGCCCTCAGCAGCTAAGTCCTCCGAACAATCAACAAGGGTTGTGGCATACTTTTCCTTTTGTCAACACACTAAATTCTGATTACGAGTTCTACCCTATACTAACAGTTAATATCATGGGCCATAACTCGGGCAGTAATAATTATCGTAAATCGTTCAAAATCAATTGGCTTCTTCATCCATGACCTTAAACACTGCATAAATATGATGGGCTATAACTCTGGCAGTAATTATCGTAAATCGTTCAAATTCAATTTGCTTCTTCATCCATGAGCTTTAACACTGTGCATAAATTTAAAGTCAATCAGATATTAACATTAGCCTCTAGCGCGTCGGGCGGGAGCGACGAGAATATATGACCACATTTCAAATTCGAAGATAGGTGTGTTCAGATCACAGCTGACCATTCACGGTCTAGACCTTGGGGGCAGGGCAGGTAAGCTTTAGTTGTCTCGAGTCTAGTCCCTAGCATCTATTGCTATATGCTGGATAAAAATGACAACAAAATGTATTGCTTTACATTATGTATGTTTAGTTATGAACTGGGAGCCACGATGGTTCAGTGAGTAAGAAGCTGGCTCGCTAGTCTGGGGGTCGGTGTTGACCGTTGCAGGACGAAGGGTCTGACAAGGACAGCTTTCTAGTCGTCTGGATGGGACGTTTACACATTGACGTGGACGTAAAAAAAATCCCTTGATAGTTGGAATATTCGATAAAAGCATGGGCCGTAGCGTCGCTGTCCTGGGAAAATGCCCGTCTTTATAAGCCCAGTCGGACCAGAACAGTAGGAAGTTTAACCCCATTTTATAACATTTTAATTATGAAATGTATATTCGCTAGCACAAAGTCAAGAGTTGATGTATCGCAAACGCTACCAAAAGAGTGATCATCCCCGTTCGCATTTGATTTTGGTGCCAACGAAATCGTGCCCCGGCGCTGCATGGCAAGGTGTCGAGACGATCTAAGACCCGGCGTCGCTGATGTAGCCTTGCTTGACTCAGGAAATTAAACATAAGCAACATAAGATCACCAATACGAATGTCTGGCGCATCCATCTTGGATATGAATGACCTTCACTGCGCATTCAGTGTGGCGCTTTTCATTCTGAATTCAATCAAAATAAACTGTAACGTGACGCACCGCTTTTAAACCGGAGTCTCCGGAATTCGCATTGAATGCGCATGCAGTGTGAACGCAGCTTGAGATCTGTTCATGGCATGAATTATCTCTAAGGGTTAGATGTGTTACAAACAGTTATTTGTTCGTAAGTGGATGTTTCTCCATTTCCTATCTTTATCGAGATTTTGTTCCGTTAAATTCCATTTTTGAGAAATCCACAAGCTAAACATAAACTACCACTACATTTAATTGGTGTTGACATCTTTATTACATACTTCAGCGTCTGATCATGTTTTTGTTTACATTGGTAATGTGCGCATACTAGTTTTATGATTGAAGTCAGAATAGCGCAGTGACGTAGGAACCAGTCTGACGTCATTTAGAGCAGGTTGTCCAGTCTAAATAGCGCAGTGACGTAGGAACCAGTCCGATGTAATTAAGAGCAGGTTATCCAGTCTACACATGTCCCACTGGAAATTAGTGGAGTCCGCAAAGTGTTAAATGTTTCTTATTCAGTTGAGAAGTGAATGAATTCGTTCGAAGTTAATATTATTGGGATTAAAAGAAGTACAATTTAGCTAAACATATAGCGAAGTTTTTATATCGTCTGCAGATAATGCTATGGTGGCTGATTGGTATCATGTCCTGATGTCGGGTTGTCGCGTTATGTTCCGACATCACGACATTTTAACCCGACACCACAACAACATGACAATGCGACCTCACGACATTTTTAACCTGACAATAGGGCCTCCCCTAATGTGCATGACGAATGACAAGCGAATGACGAATGACGAATGACAAGGAATTTCTAAGCAATAACTCCTCCCTTTAGGCCAATTTAATTCAACTACAGTAATAAGTTTTATACCTATCGACTTATTCAATAATTGGCCCGCGCGTAGGGGTCTTTAGCAGTGGGAGGAAACCGGAGGACCTGGAGAAAACCCATGAGGTTGGACAGGCGACCCTACTCCTTGTCACGTACAACCAATCTAGTAATAACTAACAGGAACGATAAACCGAATCTAGATATTATTTATTTTTATAAAACTTGTATGAAGTAAGATTCCATAGCTTTGTTTAATTCTGTGGAACATATGATACCATAGTATAGTTTATAGTTTTATGGAATGACTTGTAAATTTCTCGCGGAATCTTCACCAACACAATCCTGTGCAGCCCACTCAGGCCAGTCTTTACTTAAATTTAACTTGTCAATCATTTCCGCTAAACAGTTCATTGATGGCCTCTCCTGTAAAACAAGTTGCTTTTGAGAGAAATGTGGCACTTGACTTAACAGTTCCTTTGCCAAATGAAACTCTTTTTGTTTTTTCAACAAAGTCCTGTTCGTTAAAGCAGTTATGGTTGTTGTCTGTAACCAGTTTCTAACGTTCTTAGAGTTGATACTGTCGTATGTATTACCAGAGATAACTACATATGCATTCAAAATGACATAAATGATACAATCATAACCATTGGGCTGTTGAGTTGTATCTTCAGAAAAAGTACATGTCCAACCTGATTTGTGAAATGAACTCAAGCAATTTGATGAGCAGTGCTACAATTCATAATATATGAACGAAGAAATCTAAATGATAGTCGTAACTACTACTAGCCATTGAGTCCAACATAAATATTTATTTAGTGGTAATGTTAACAATGGATAAACACCAGTGCTGACTAGGGCCTTTAGGGTCTAAATTTAAGGGGGTTAATAAAATATCTTTGTTCAAAGCTTCCGATCGTTTGTTGCAAGAATACGCAATGTCATATGTCCCTATGGCAACCGTTTGATAACGATGAAAGTACTAGTCATAAAATTTAATTTTTAGTGTTTTCTTTTTATCTAATACATGAATTTTACTTATATGTTTAACTGAGAGTTAGATCATTTTACATATATATAAAAGTAGACATCAATCAGTTTCACGGAATGTGATCACTAATCCTTGAATGGATTCATCTATGGCATCACTGCAAAGCCAGTGTGTTTTTGCATTGATTTTAGTGCAATGCTGATATGTAGAGTATCTGTACAATGCTCTTCCAATGGATGGGTATATGTAATAACTGGGGATGTTTTAGATGCCTTGGTAGATGGGGTTGATGTGAACGTAGGAAAAAAAATCAGCAGTTTCGAGACCACCATCAACATCCTTCATTATAGAGTCAGGGGCAGGTTCGACAATGTAATCATAATCATGTTGCCTTGGCTTTTTACGTCCCGATTTCTTCTCTCTCCTGGGCGGTTAGACTATTTTCTTTTATCCGGTTCACCCTTGTCACCTATGGCCATCTGAACAGCTAATATATGGTAGCAAAGTCCAGTACGCGGACATGAACATGTACTTGGCTTTGGATTCAGCGTTACACTATGTACTCCTTTACTACAGCTATTTATCAATGAAAATGATCCTGTTTGTGAGCTCAAACCCACAAAACCCTTGTTACAGCAAACTCGTGCCATAGATAATCTGTATGTATCAAGCTTTTCTACTATTTCACTAACTTTATCTTTGTCTTTTATTGTAGATACTATCTGATCGACTGACTCAAAT